TATAATCTCATGACGTGAGATAATAGTGAAACATATGGAACCTCTAATAAAAAATTAAACCGAAATCTCTATGTCTATCAAAAAATATAATTATATGAGTTTCATATTAAACCTTTTAAAAGGTTTATGCTCTAAATATTTTAATTGTCTGTAGGTCTGCCGATAACAATCAGCCGTTGCAATCAATAAACAATCAGCCCGATTCCACAATAAACCACTAGTCTGAAACCTGCTGTTTGGGAACCTACAAGTAGTAGTATCTAAATTTTGAATAGTACGATCATGAAGAGAACCAGATGAATGAGGGTGTTTCAATACACCAAGTGCCTCTAATCTAAACTGGGCCCTAAACAGCACGAACTAAGAGTAGGTTCTTTATCAATAACTCTAGCATGATTAATAACTTCGACGGGTTTAGTTTGACTGTCAAAGACACCATGCAATACCCAACCTAAACTAGTAAGCGTTGCAACTGGTTGTGAACGTGTTCCCGACCTAATACCACGTGATACACTAAGGTGCCAATTTTCAGCTCCAATTAATATAGTTGGTATGCCATCATATGCCAGTTCCTGAGATATATCTGACAAATAATCATACTCAGTAATATCAGAATACCGAACAGTTTGTGATGTCAAATTTAAATTGTCTATAGACATAGCATTTTCAATATTAAAAATATCCGATCCGAATTTTCCGCGTATTTTAAAATCTACATATTCAACTTCGTCCTCTCGAACCGCCGACACCCTGTACACGAATATGCCCCTTAGGTCCACCTATCCGTTTAGAAATACAGGCATCTATAAGAGTTTAAGTTTTTTTGCATCTTACCCATGGGGGCGAGTTTGCTTCGCACTGGTCGATCCTGATGTAATAGCTGAATCGATGCAGTACTTCAGGGAATGGAGATGTTTATTCCAAATTCCCAGGTACCTGTCGGTGGTAGATCTCAGTCCTGGTATGGCGGATCCTGCGAATACTGTTCTCATCTCTGGGCGGGAGCACCACAATACCAGCTACTTCCGTTTGACTGCATTCAGAACCGAGCAGCCAGAATTATTGGTAATCAACGTCTATGTGACAGACTCGACCCATTGGCTTTGCGGCGAGATATTGCATTTCTGTGCATTTTCTACCGTATATATCACGGGGAGTGTTCTGAGGAATTGTTCGGATTAATACCGGCTGTTGAGTTTCACCACCGTACCATCCGCCAGAAACTGAAATACCATCCTGATCATCTGGATGAATGGCGGTCTTCCACAGTGCGGTTTTCTAGAAACTTTGCCACGCACAACCACATTGTGGAATCACCTTCCAGCAGTGGTATTTCCGAACCGATACGATATTGAAACCTTTAAGAAAAGAGCTTATTCCTTTTTAAAAGGCCGACAACGTACTTGCAATTCCCCTGGTGTTGCGGGTGCTCATGGGCGGCGGTAATCACTTACCATCAGGTGAGCCGCATGCTCGTTTGCCCCTGTGTTATAAAAAAAAAAGAGTGAAGAGTACACAAGATACGTGTGATTCGTCGCTGTCGGATTGGCAGCCATTTAAGCTAAGAATGGTAAGCAGAGATGTGGTCATATTTACGAAGTCCAAAAATGAAACGTATAGCATTATTAAGCAAACAATTCAATTTGTTCAGGAGGCTTTCATTCATGTCTGAGCAGCACACATCAGCATAATCAAGGATATGCAGTACCAGCGATTGAATAAGCAAGATCTTTGTTTTACTCGGATCTGTGTTATACTTCCTAGCAGAAATCTGTGGTCAGGAAGAAAAAACGGTACGTACTCCAACACCTGCACCATAATAATTGTAATATATAGGGGGAAAGAGGATTGTTAGTAATGTGGCCTAGTAACCCCATTGCTAGCAACGGGGTTATTAAGTAAGGTTGACCTCCACGTGGTTCCTCCTGAAAACCATCGTTATAAATTCATTGTGAATTTACCACGGCGAACTAACCTGACCTCGTGGTCATCTTGGTATCCTCCTCTGGTGTCCCCCAGCGTAAACCGTTAGCGCAGGTGCACCATTCATAAAAAAAATATAATATTAAATGTGTCAAATCAAATCAAGTTTATATTGTAAATATTTTTATTAGTGTTATTAATAACTGTATATTATGTGACGGGACGGGAGTAGTAATGATACACGAAGACCGTTTCAACCGATCTACACTGTGCACACAATTCTTTGACTGCCTCTGACTTTAACATTTATATTCATGAGTATGATGGTTTGTGTCGGTCTCTGTCTTCTATTTATAATATGTATTTACGAAAAAAAATATCTATGTACATATTTGTATCAGTTATCTACTACCTATAACACAAGCTTTAGTTAGCTTAATTGGGGTCTAGATGGCGCTGTGTGAATTGTGCCGAGATTCTTATTATTATTATGAAATATGATGGTTCTATTTTTAAAGTTCGAGTTAGGACTGTTATGTTCAAATCAGAACTCAAACTCAGATCAGAAGAAAAACTTGTACTCAAAAATAAACATTATTATATCAAACTTCTAGAACTTTATGTCATAATATTGTAATTAGATTTAATCTTATAAACCTCATTTATGGTGGCATTTAAACTTATAAATCATATTAATTAATTAAAAATAGACTGTGGTGGTTATCTCACTCAAACTAGAAGGCGGAAATCTGCTTTAGCGCCGCCCCGCAAAGCAGATTTCAGTGACTACAACGCTGTTTTGTTTGCAATTGACAGTAACAATTATTAATATTAATAACTTCTTTATTTTGCAGCTGGAGAATCATCATGAGTGACTATCTGTATGGAAGCGGTAACAACTTTGATGAAGAGTAAGTATTCTGGAATCATTTCTAATCTTTATGCTGAACATTACTTTTTTATTGATGGTGCACCCTCCATCTTCTCATTCGATACGTTCTTGACAGGACAATCATGGTCATGTGTATATAATGGGGTAAGAGGCTGATGTCATCCGCCGTACGACAGTTCCCCACTTGTCTCTACTGGCTGCCATTTTGGTACATTCGTGGAGTTGCTTTGACTCGGTCGGTGCATCGCACGGGTGATCGTCACCCACGTACGCCAGCATCTACTAAAAATGACCTCTTACATCTATTGTATTTTGAAATGCTATGTCACGAAATTTAGAATCTCTGCCACCCTGGGTCAGACAATGTCACATTTTGTCGACTCCTTGCCCACTCCACTGCCCCCTAATATGTGACATAATTTATCTATGACCCATACCCATATACATCTCAAGACAATAGTAATTAAAAAGAAATTGTTTGTTTATAGGTGGAGTTTTCCAACCATCGACGAATTTTGTGAAAATAAACTTTTGTACAATGTAGGTTTACTTTTTTATGTTTTAGCTTATAAATAGATAATATTCTTATTTACTGAACTGATTTATTTTCGTAAATATTGTGACCTACATTGAATGAAATATTCAATGTAGGTATAATGTCGTTAGCCGACACCCTGCAGACACGGCTAATGTACCTATGTACATACTATGTTATAGTTACTTTTTTCCATGTCTACTTTTTTCTCCCGACGAAGATATGTCGTAACGCGTCCACAATATTTCGATACGGTTTTTTTTTCATTTAAAAAGTTTATGTGATAGAGATAGATTTTAGCTAATTCTACAAACCATCTATCACAAATCAAAGAGAAAGCTATCTGATATCTCAGTACATTACGATATCTCGTATGGGTTTCTTCAGGGAAATTACATCGGTGCTAATGTAGGTACAAGTAGGTACTTATTTTGTGTTATACTTGTAGAACCTTCTATATCTACAAGTAGGCTGTCGACAGTAAATCGCTAGCACACGACGCCCGTACTGCTAGTTGTATGAGGTATTTATGTAAGTTGTTATTTAGTTGAAATTAGGCTGCGAAATTACAGGGTATTTGGGCTCACAAACTTTCGCGTTCATAACATTAAAATAAGTTTATACTATTTTGGCTGTATTTTGTTACTTTAAAACAAATAAATCTTTCTTTTTTTGTTCAAGACCAAGACACGTACTACAAAAAATTGCAATTATATAAATAATAGGATATGTCCTATTATTTATAGAATTGCAATTTTTATATAATTCTTTATACAAATCTATATTTGAAACTGGAAAGACATAAGTTGCGAGCATTATTGATGGTAACCGCAAAGCGTATGTACCTAGTATGTACATACATGTACAGCATCATTACATTGACTCATTGTGTGACGCCCGTGGCTACACCTTCAACCTAAACACAGCTTACAAAAGCTGTAAGGCAGTTGGAATAGATGGGGAAAAGCCTCCACGTAGTGGACTTTATAGACAACAGTCTACCTCTATAAAACTAGAAATTATTAAATTAAAACGCACCTATGAACACGATATAGCTTTGCACAGCTTGGTTTTAAACAAAATTAATATATAAGTTATGACAAAACTAAAAACACGTAAACGTGTGACGTAAGATAATGATGGCCTCTAAACTAGTCAACTGTTAACTATTCAGGATCCTGTACTGAACGCAGCAGAATCAGCGGTACCGTACTTTAACGAGGTAAGCTATTCTCCTATTCCTATTGTGTTATCTCGTCCAAGTTTTTATTCGATACCTATTTCATCGACAATTATTTGTATTTTTTTTTATCAGTAGATAGATTAATATAATTTAATTTAAACGAGTTCGTCGATATTTTGGAAATATATAGAGCCGTTCACACACGAAAAAATATATAAATATAAAAAATAGTAAACTTTTATTTATTAAAATATATACATATGCATGTTACTCTTGCCAATATTATAACTTCTTGTAGAGATGGTAATAAACAATTTTTTTTTTTCAATATGTAACTAATAAAATGTTATTAATTAACTTATAAAAACTACTATGTCCAGTAACTACAATCTAAAAGTCCACGCGAGTGTAAACCACGTCATGATTTTTATTACATTATTTATACATATTACTACTTACAGAATACCATGGAATTTAATGACCAGCAGCAACCTTCGGGTCCGGCCCAGAACAAGTAAGTAATCATATGTTACATTATGAAACATATTTTACATATGCCAATATTTTAATTTCATTTATCTACTTTGGAATGACAAACAATATGTTGGTCTACCCGCTGATCATCACGTCATCATGTGACACCCGTGGCACCACTTATACGTCCGGCATTCAATCGACGAATATGTTAAAAATTAATTCAAAGATATTTAAAAAAGTATGTACGACTGCCAAGGCACTTCTTATAATGAAAATAAAATCAAGACTTCTAAAAATAAAATTGAAACAATCTGGAATATAATACGGAATCAGGTCGCGACATATAGAATATGAATTAAAAACAGAACGATGTTGTTATTGATAAAAATTTTAGTTAATTTTATTTAAAATTTTAGTTGTTAGTAAAACTTTTGGTACTTAGTTTTCAAACAATACGAAGTTTAACTTCGTCACCTAATTTAGCTGAAACATCATACAAAAAATGCTATAATTCCTTGCGTTCATGACTTCCGTTTTCATCACATCAGTTGCTCCTGTATCATACAACATTTAACGCTCTCAATTTAAAAGATCCTGATTTAGGGTCACTGTTATCAGTGGCCATAACTTGCCATAGCATATATATGTTGGTGGACACTATTCTGCCTAATTTTGAATTTAAAATCAGTCTGTATTTTTGTAAAAATGTACAAGCACAATTGAAAAGTATAAGAGCTGTTTCTTGTCAGTTCTTAACTCTAATGCTTTCCAAACTGACGATAGTTTTTGACATATCATAAGAGTGTATAATAGACCTACATTAATAAAGATATTTTGATTTGATTTGATATAAATTTTCTCAGTGGCCACGACGGCACTGCGACGGCAATCTGCCGCAGTAGCGCCAATACACCACGCTATTCTCGTAGTGTCAGTAGTCCTCCTTCATAATTATTGGCTATTAATATAAAATAAAATGTTATATATTTAATCAGGTTCAGACGCCGCAGCAGCATGCACAAATATTCCCAGTAAGTAACCTACTAATAACATACCCAAATTAAATATAAATATTAGTATTAAGTACTCGAAATAGAAAACAGTCTGTCAGTTCACCTGATGGAAAATTATATTTTTTACATATACATCAGATAAGCACCACCAATATCGCAGAATACACTTTGTCGCCCGCGGCTCGTCTCATGCATTTCCATTCATGAGGAGTAAGTTTTTATACCTTCGTACCCACCCCCAATGGAGTGAAATTTAATAATTCATATCCATATTCGGCGATACAGTCTCTGATGAGTATCCGCATCCGTATCCGCGGATATACGAGTACATTTAGCCGTAATAAGGGCCACGTCTTTAGTATGCAGAACTATTAGGCGCCTCATCTGTGACTTTACTGTGAAATGTGGATATGTCACATAATGTCTATACAATGATTATGGTAGATTGAAATAAAGATATACCTAGTCCAGCCAAAAGTATTGTTACAAATCAAATGATTTTTTAAGGAAGTAATGTAAAATTATTCAAATTTATACCTACATATTTATTAAAGTCTCATCAAAAAATAAAAAGACATTCTATTCTAAGTGGCACACATCACATTAGACTTTAAGCTGTTTGGCCCCGAATCTATGGATTAACATACTGTTTCCAAGAAGCAGGCCTATCCTCTATAACTGACCCTAATTTGAAGTCTAAAGGGTTGAGGTCTGGGGTAGATGAGGGCCAGTCTTCAGCTCCCGGAATGTTGGTTTCAAACCAGGCTTGGGTAGTTCGTGCATTGTAACTAGGTCAGAAGGCACGAGTCAGAGTCCTGTAGGAAAGTCCACTGTATATTTTTAAAAAGTGTGTTGCTGAGAGGTTCATAATCAGCCAAGACTGTATCATCAGATACTATCTCTAATTTATAGGATTTATTATATATGACTACAAATATATGATTCTACTATTTTTGTGACTGCACATTTTCTACTGATAGGTAGTAGTAGATAATGAATTTTATTAAAACACGTTTTTTTATTCATAGCTTTCGGTGATATTATGTAAAGACGGTATTGTAAATATTTTTTAAGTTACATTATTTTTTAACACACTTCCACCAAGAAACAAAATTGTAATAATTAATTGAATACGTAGTGTTTAAGTGGTTAAGGTTTTAAGAATTAGTTCCCTTTGACAAATTGGTTATTTATTATTATATATATGACAATTACAGTATGCCAGTAAAAGAGGTAACAATTTGCGGCGTTATTACTAAATAGAGACCAGACAACCTTAAGATGGAACGCCTTGAATTTGCTTTTGCCCTTTATATCTGGGGGCTCGAAGGAAGCAAATCTCACCCGCAAAACAGACAACTTGGAGACAGAACAATTCATACTGAACAGTGTTGAAAACCTAGTTAAATTTCACAGCAAAACTTATATTTACAAGATTTCTTATACATAGTTTATGTATCAAATTTGTACAAGAAAATACGTTAGGATTGAAAATTATATGCAATAAGAAAAATAAAGAAAATTTTTTGTTTACAATTGTAGAAATCGGGTGTTGGAAGGCCAGAGACAACGGAATTTGAGGGCGTACATGAATTTCAGATCGACATTAATGGCGACCTGAAACGTTTACAGGTAATTAATATCATAAAAATATATTACTACATAATAATGTATAGTTATTATTATTCTAGCATTATCTATTTATTAACATGTAAAGTAAATTCGTTGATCTTTTTTTTACGAAAATTGCGTGGTCTTAATTTACTTGGATTAAATTTCGCGCACTTATAGTTTTTTTTAATATTATTTATTTATTAATCTACAATTATGTATACGTATTAATTCATTTATATAGAGCAGACTAATATTACTAAATTTTATATAATCATGTTTTCAAAGGATATGTTGGAATTATCCTTAAATAAATTAAAAGCATCTGTTAAATCATATTTACTGAGCAAAGCCTATTACTCACTAAACGATTACTTGAACGACGAGTGTGCATGGCAATAGTTGTTCATGCACTGAATTTTCATTTAATGTTAGACATAGACACCTATATAAATAATAATTGTAAATAAACTGGCTTTAAAAAAAAAAGTAATTAAATTGAGTTTCTTGCCAGTTCTTCTCAATTGGATCTATATACCGAACTGGACGGTAGGGAAAAAATTAAAATTAGAATGCAAAAATGTGATGTTTATAAGCAGCTAAAATGTCCTACATGAATAAATGATTTTTGAATTTGAAATTCAAAGAAAATGCTGCAGTGATACGCTGCAACGCAACAGAAGCTGAGAGCTTTTGAATAAAGATTACTTCTTTACTGGAAGCTTAAATAACTTATTGTAAGCACTTTTTTAATAGTTATATTTTTTTTACCATTCATTCGGAAAGCAGACTCAGCACAAGAAGAACTAGCAATATCTTCCATGTTGATCTTTTAAATAAATATTGTTCAGTATGACATTTTTAAGATTATGTGTGAATACAAACCGCGAATAGTATATCCTTAGTTATATAAGTTCTGTTTTACAATATTGTGATGTATTAAATGATAAATAAATATTAATTTATATCTTCAGTATGGAATTGACAGACTTTTCATCAAACCAAACGATACGTTTGGCGTTGATGTTAAGGTAACACATATGAGTGAACAGCAAATGTTCCTACGTGCATGTACTTGCTTCCAAGAAGAGATTCAGGCACTGAATCGCGTCGAGACCTGCCTCAATCATCGAACAGGCAGTACTGGTTAGTATAATATTTTATGAAATACCTACATACTTCAAATATCTTTAATGTGTGATCAGAAGTTAGATAATGTCGTTACGAAATATCACTTTTAATCATTGAAATAGTAATTAATATTTTAGTAATATTTTTTTATTATTTATATTTACTAATTATTGGAGTGTAAGGGGTATGAAACTATTATCTCTAACGTCAACCCAAACGTCAACCTTACCTGCACGTGGTACACTCTGCTGACAAACGGACGAGGCTCTGAACAGTACTTAACAAAAACAAAACTGATAGCAGTCACATTGGGAGTACATCAGAGCTCAGTACTTAACAAAACTGTACAATACTTAACAAAAACGAAAACTGATAGCAGTCACATTGGGAGTATATCAGGATTCAGTACTTAACAAAATTGTACAATACTGAACAAAAACAAAACTGATAGCAGTCACATTGGGTGTATATCAGGGTTCAGTACTTAACAAAACTGTACAGTACTTAACAAAAACAAAACTGATAGCAGTCACATTGGGAGTACATCAGAGCTCAGTACTTAACAAAACTGTACAATACTTAACAAAAACGAAAACTGATAGCAGTCACATTGGGAGTACATCAGAGCTCAGTACTTAACAAAACTGTACAATACTTAACAAAAACAAAACTGATAGCAGTCACATTGGGAGTACATCAGAGCTCAGTACTTACTAATCCCCTTCCTGTTTTCTTAGTTCAGAAAGCGCGGCAAACTTAATTTCGCATTTATAATATTAGTATTGATAAAGTTACCTCTGACAAGTTGGTTTAGATGAAGAATTATGTGACACTATAGGTAAGAATGAATATGTATGCTCGATTGAAATATTTTTAATATTGCAGTGAACCAAACAATGAATGTACTACGTTCCTGCGACCCCAATATGGAGCGCGTTTACTATGACGGTGATGATACCCAAGAGAATTACTATTTTTCCACCGTTACGAAGCTAGAAAGCAATAAGACTATGCAAACATGTACTTATAAATTTATATGTAAAAATACATGCGAATCGGGTATAAACCGACGAGATATCGCAGTAATCTTTACACTAGAAAACGAGAAGTAAGCAATAAATATTTTTACACTAATCGCATCTGCACATATTACGAATATGTATCTATAGAGGACACCTGTTGACGATAATCATTAATCAAAGTACAACAATAAATAAAACATCTGTATAATTCCGCCATATTACTTTAATCTGTCCTATTGATGGTCCGCCTTACGTCAACGTGGTCGTGGTACTGGGTCGCGTGTTCGATACCTCGCACAGTACAAACATTGTATTCATGAGTATAATTGTTGTAGTGCTCTGGGTGTTTTTTATTTATATTAATGTATCTACTCGTGTTTACAAAAGTATTTAAGTATCGGTATCAGTTGCCTAGTATCCATAACATAAGCTTAGATTGGGACTACATGGCGTTGTGTGAATTGTCCTAGGTTAAATAAACTCATTTTTATTATCAATCAAATATTAGGTGGCATATTGACAATATTAATGTATTTAAAACAGTACAATGATATCATATAATAAATTTCTTTTACTGGTAAAAATTTTTTTTTTAACAGTGTAATGTTCTCTCAACAGGGGTGATGCATTGGGTCGAAAATTATTGAAAGTTAAAGTATGCCAGGGTCCGCGCCGAGACATGTTGAATTACATGAACAAAAATACTAAAAATATATCTCAATCTACTAATGATAGTGATACAACTAGGACGGTTACAAAGACAATAAGAAAAAGGAAAATTGTTGAATCCAAAAAAGACATGGAAGATTCGAATGATTGGAATATACCCTTACAAGCATTAAAAAAGAAGAAGAAGGCAGATAACCAGATCTACATAATACCTTCGGTATGTACCTGCCCGTCACCTTAAGATTGTGAAATCCTTTAGTTTATAATCTATCTAATATTGAAGGCCTCTAGCTCTTCCGATGGTCGCGGGTTCGATTCCTCGAACTATATAACGTTGTATACGTGACAATTCTATACGTGAGTATGATTGTTTATAAATCTATCTAATATTGAAGGCCTATATATGTATATATATCTAGCTCGCCTCATTTCTTCCGATGGTCGCGGGTTCGATTCCTCGCACTATATACCGTTGTATACGTGACATTTGTATATGTGAGTATGATTGTTTATATCGGTCTTGGTATTTTCTATGTATAGTATATATGTATTTAAAACAAAGTATGTAAGTATATATATTGTCTAGTACCCATAACCAGGAGCCTAGTTTAGCTCAGGTCTAGATGGCGTCGTGTGAGTTGTCCAGGTATATTATTATTATTTTCTAACGACGTTGTGATCAATCAGTAAATTATGAACAGTACAATATTGCTTATAATACAACCCGCAACATCAGCACTATTAGAGGTGAGTTGTCTGGTTTTAAATGTAGAATTAACATGTCATCATCATTTCGGGCGCAGGATGTCCATTGCTAAACAAAGGCCTTCCTCAAAAATCGGTCCTGCGTTGCTCGCATCCAACGCTTTCCAGCGGTCTTTACCAGATCGTAGTTCCTTGTCGGAGGTCCTCCCACACGTTATCAGCTCCGCGGTCGCCAATCGAGAACTACTACCCTAAAGGGCCATCTGTCCTACGAGCTATGTGCCCTGCCCATTGCCACTTCAGTTTCGCAAATCTTTGTGCTATGTCGGTTACTTTGATTCTTATGCGGATTTCCTCATTTCTGATACTATCACGCCGAGAAACTCCAAGCATGTCTCCCTCTCTATTGCCCTCTAAATGAATCTAAACAGATTTATGAGGCCCATAGTTTGCAACCCATCTCTGTGCCGTAAGTCATCACCAGCATCACACTTCGGTCGTAAACCTTCGTCTTGAGACACTGTGGTAATTTAGACGAAAATATATATTGGAACTTTTTTAATACTTCTATGGTGGCAATCAAGCATACAGCCCATCTGATGGTAAAAAATCCCCGAACGGTGACCCATCCGAGTTGGATTCGACTGAATAAACATGTAAATGTAGACAAAGAGAACGAGAATAACAGCGCGCCGCCAGTTTAGACATTCCCGCGTCTGTCACTCGAACGAGCGCCATTTTTTTCAGACTTAATTATCATATCAAAATGTCGGATTATGGAGAAAAGATATAATTATAGACTTATTGATAATTTATAAATATTGAAAAATAATTGTTGTGGAATAAAAAATACAATTTTAAAAGAAAGTAAAAACCATGAAATATAGTCGCTGCCACTCGCGAAAGAGTGAACACAATAAAAATAGTAAAACGCAGTCGCTCACGATTGCATGCGCTGGCTTTCGCGCACTGAATCGCGCGCGTGAAAGAATCTGTCATGTGACGGGCAGTTTATGACAGCGTATAGTTGACTAATAACAACGACCGAATGGTAAAATATAATACTATACGTCTTCAGAGCACCGGCGTTAAACGTTGCGTTTCACATCGTCAGTCGAGGTTTGAAAAGACCTCTTCTTAGAAGTCGTCGGCAACTTACCTGCAATTCACGTGGTGTTCATGGGCGGCAGTGATCTTACCATCATGTGCCAAGAACGTTTGCCCTCTATGCTACAAAAATGACTCTTTAACTAAAAGCTCACTAAAATGTCCAGACATGTGGCGGCGTGGTGGGCCGGGTCAATGGGCTCCCTAAAATATGGTCGAGCGCAGTGATGGCTGGCTCATCCGTCATACTCGTGAACGAGTGCTGCTTGTAGGGACTGGTCTGCTCTTATCACTACGACTGATTTAATCTTATTGCATGATTATATTTGACCCAAAAAATTAGTGCTTGTTGGTAGTTTGTATTCACACGTTTCGACTTGTAAATGTAAACTTACAAGTATTATTTAAAAGAGCAACACACAAGTTTCTTGCTCGTTCTTCTTGTGATGAGACAGCTTTCCGAACGAGTGGTAGATAAAAAACAAATTGTTATGACTATTCAAAAGTGCTTAAATTAAGTTTATTTGAATAAATGATTTTCTATTCTATTCTATTCTATTCTATTCTATTCTATTCTTTAACTGACTTTACACAACATTCATTCATGCGAGAAAGTGCGCAATCATGTGCAAAAATTTTTTAATTTTGTTCACCTTTTCCCGCAAGATTGCTCGTGTTAGATTGTATTTCCTGAAAATAATAAGATGAAAAGTTGCAACCGCCGCCAATATACATGAATAGCACTATAGACATTGTGTTCCCTCCGATCGATCTCCCGTCCAATTCGAACGAGGATTGAGCCGAGATTCGAACCCTTGGCGCCTGCCCTCGAGTTGCCTTCAGATTAAAGTCGTAGCTGTCAGGCAGGAGTTGGCCTTCAGCCGTTTTATAACTCCTTCCGCTGCTTGGAGTGCTATCTGCACTATCGTTTGTTCAGTAAACTTATAAAGACCAGCTGCGGCCAAGAACATTAGAATATTTCGGAAACAAGAACATTATGTCGTCATGTGACATCATTCCTCGTGCATTGTTATTGCCGGTGAACTAAGATTTCACTTCGGTAAGCTGTTTTTTCATTGCTACATTTTCCCATCAAACCCAAACAGCTTGCAAAAGCTAAGTGCTTGGGGGTTGAAAGCGATGAGACAAAAGTACGTTTAACGACTCGGTTTATATATGGTATGTGTTTTATATATACGATCTAAGTATTTAATTCATATATATTTATAGCTGAATACATATGAATACATATACATTATGTTTACTATGTGAATGGCTGTGCGACTGTACGTGTATGTGTTGTTTACATATATTTTGCTCTTTGTATTATGTACTAAAAGTGTGAATTCTTTTGTTTACAGATCTATGTCAAAGACCGATTATTGTTTCGTAAACTGATTAAGAAGAATATCAAAGCGTTAAAATCTCACATTGCCAAAAATAACGAAGAGGATGCAGAACATTTAAATGCTAACATAGCTGTGCTGAAACGCGGACTCAGTTCAGTTTAGGCAAGTATATTAATAATGTCTTATAATAACCCGGAACAATTCACATAGAGCCTTCTAATTCCAAACTATGCAGACCATGTGTTATAGGTATAAATATTAAACTATAACTGGTACAAAATATTTAAATATTTTTATGTATCTCAATATATTTTTTTTCTCTACGTTAATCGACGATCAGTCGCAAGACTCGGTCAACACATATAGCTACTTGATTTGTAGGCGATAACCTCTTCTGCCTTTCTAAAATATCTTGACTATGTGAGAAGGCTCCAAGAACTGTACTGCCGAAGAATTAGGATGGTTAGAGAGTCGAGTTCAAGAAGCATGGTGCATTTGCTATAGTTACGCAGAAAACCATTTGTATTCTTTGTAGACACATGGTGTTGCTATTTCTGGCCGTGGCTCACAGGGCAATACGTCCAGATTGGTATCAGAACAGACTTATATATTTAGTTTTATCGGAGTTTATTATCCACAAAGTGCACAGAATTCCTACCCATGAGTCAGCTCAGATCACTAAATTTGAGGTTCATCTCATGTATTTTCTTTTTTATATATGTAACTAGCTATTCGCCCCGGCTTCGCACGGGTGTACATGTATTATATATATAAACCTTCCTCTAGAATGACTCGCATACTTAATAAATAATTTAAAAAAACCGATTCAAAATCCGTTGCGTAGTTTTAAAGATTTAAGCGTACATAGGGACAGACAGCGATAGCGACTTTATTTTATACTATGTAATGATTTTCAAGTGAGTCTCTTGTCCAGATGAAAGCCAAGGTATTTTATGCAATGGATGTCGGGTTGCTCTTCATTACTAAATCTGACATATAGATGGGTGAAAGTATGAAACTTTGCGTGTTTATGTGAAAATATGCTTTGATTTTTGCACCATTTTGTCATCCATATATTGGATTTATCCAATATATATTGGAGTTTTCTGCTAGCCATCTCTGTCTGTCTGGTTTGTTATCACTAGCGAGGTAGGCTATATCATCAATGTAAGTTGTGATAATAATGTCTTCCAAGATGGGTAGGTCTGACGTAAATATACTGTAGAGCTATGGACCCAGTACTGAGCCCTGTGGTACTCCTGTTTTAATATCTAATATTGGGAAGTTTATTTATAATTTTTGATTTTTATTTCTCTTTCAAATTACACTCTACATAAATTGCGTTATTGTATTTCCACAAAAAAAAAAAAATGCTGTTACTGTTTCCGAGAATTGGCTTAACATTTAATATTCTGTATTTATAATGTAATTTAATTGTAAATCACTTGAGATTTATAATTTGCATGCCTCCTGAATATGAGGCGAACATTTGTAGCATGACACTGTAAATATTCAAGCAAATAAATTATCTATCTTATCTATCTATCTATCTATTGCGTCGGATCGTCTCGATTGCCTTGAACACAAGAAAGGCCGCGCCCTTTCTCCTTCTCATATATCCTATGCGTATTGGTGGGGCCACGTATAATTTTAGAGTAATAATTTTACCACCAGGAGAAAGGGAAAACCTATAGTTTAGTATTATAATTATAATTTTGTAAAATACAAGTATGCTATATATAGGCTACCTCTTTCACACGACAGTAATTCTTTGTCGTGATCGAAAAAATAGAAAAAAATATATATGTAATATCTATTTGTAATAGATGAACTCGAACATAAACGATTTCAATATTCTTACACCTATATATAGAAAGATTATCAGCGAGTAATAATCCACTCAAACAGCGCTGCGTGATGACGCTTGTCATTTATAAATATTTAAAGTTGTTTTTGAAATTTTACAGATAACGCGGACGTTGCAGCACCTCAGTAATCGGCGGTCTAGTAGTAATTAATAATATTAAGTCCTTACATATGTAATTGGCGTTTTGTCGTACTGGCCACTTTGATCTCAAATAGCTCCTCTTTGGTTAGGAATTCCAATTCCAAATTTATACACCGTAATCCATATGTTTTTCCATCTTTGGTTTTTTCTTTGCGTCACTCAGTTACAAAATTGAAAACTTAAAACATCTCGTTATTTACGAGTACGAGTTCCGGCGCCGTGGCACCAGTGCTGCAGTAACATCCACCGTACTCCCCATACCTTGTTCCAATAGATTATATATTTTTCGAAATTTGATGCAAGGGAAAAAGTTCAACTCCGATGAGGCAGTCCAAAGCGCCTTCAAAGATTTTATTAATTCCCGTCCTAATGGTTTATTTAGTAAAGGGATCAATTAACTACCTATGAAATCGCAGAAGTGCATAAATAGCAATGGTACATACTCTGATTAAATAAATATATTATATTTTGAATAAAATCAACTTCAGGTTAGTCCCTTACAAAACGCCAATTTCATATGTTGTAACCTAATATTACAATAAAATCTCTCTATTTGAACTTTAGTAGTAGAAGCTAAAAAAAGTGCACTTTCTATTTTAGACACGTGGCAGGAAAAGTCAGTTTTTTATAAATAATAACTGTAAAATATTCACATATATATACCACCACAATACACTAGTAGACTGCCATTGCCCGCCAATTACCACTACTTTACTAATGATACTGACGCGGCGCGTAGAGGAATTTCTTTCGGACCACCTTCGGCCCTTGACAAGGGGAGACTTCATCTCTTATGCAGAGGTGCATAGGGCCCTGCAGGGCCTCTCTAAGAGAAACTCCCATTCCGGGCGGGCTTTCCAACGCCGACCAGATACGGCTGCCTCATAGATGTCTGATAGCACTTACCAGCCTCTACAATGCTATACTCTGAAACCTGGAAACTGGGCAGGGTCATCGCCTTCCAAAACCAGGGAAATACAGACTTTCCGGAAACTACGACCCCATCGGTCGAACTGTCGTCGGTGTCTTTTTAGACATACAAAAGGCGTTCGACCGGGTTTGGACCGGCGGCTTACTCTTCAAGCTCCTTGAGAACACCAGCACGCCGCCCGCCTACGTGCGTTCACTGGTGTCGTATCTAGGGTCCGTAACTTCTATGTTTTGACCCCTGCATGGTATCCACTGTGCTGTCCAACGCTCAGGCTCCGGTTGCATGCCCAGCAGAATGTCGCTCTTCGCTTGTGCACGGGAGTGGCTCGATACATCCGGTATAACGTGTTGCTGCGCGCGATCTTAAGATCCCCTGTGGTGGACGAGTTTATGAGTCCTCACTCCCACCTGAGGGAGATCACTCTGTATCACGTATTGCTTCATGCGCGACCTCCAGACTGTCGCTCTGTCGCTCTTCAAGCGTGACGACGTGGCGCTACCCTACATCCTCCTCCATTTTTTCTTATTTTATTTCTTCTCCTCTCAACCTTCCCTCTCGCCCCGCGTTAGTCAGTAGCTAGCGGATATAGGTTAGCGCCACGTACCCTATATCCGCTTCCATTTTTTCTTATTTCATTTCTTCTCCTCTCGACCTTCCCTTGCGGCCCGCGTTAGTCAGAAGCCAATGCCACACAGAGGTTGAGCCTCCCCGTGAATGCGGTAGATGCCTTGTAGCTTAAGTTAATATGTAAGTGCCATACTTGGAGGACTAAAATAAAAAATAAAAAGTATAAAAAACTACAAACGAAAAAATATAAAAAAAACTATTCGCCAAGTAGTTAGGATAAGTTATTAATTAAGTAGTTAATTAAGTTAATAATTCTAACATATGTGGGTAATTCTTAAAAAAATCCGAAATTCGTGTACTTTGTTTTGTTTTATCAATACATGTTTCTTAGATTTTATGTATTGATTACCAATATTTCCTGGCAATCTACACTACTGTGCCTAAAAGTTTCACATATCATTTTAGCGCTAAAAGTGTGCAATAAAATAAATGCATCTATATATTTAATATCTCCAAAATCATTCCCTCACATTTTACTAGCAATCTAATTATGAACGCATCTGTAATCAAACATGAATGCTGCTATTCGTTTGTTGATAGTGGGTAATACTGTCTATTTAACAATATAGCGAATTGAATGTGAGGGTTCAGGTGTTTGCGCTGAAAAAAGATTTAAGTAATTATTTTTAACCAACCCTAAGGGGATAAAATAGGTGATGAAAGTTTGTATGAAAGTACTGTAAAGCCGCTAAAACTACACCTAATAATAATACTTCTTAACGCGAGCGACGCCGCGGGCAAAAGCTAGTTAAACATTTACATTTCAAAGGTTCTCGAAGTTCTCTCCCTCACCTTACTCGTCGTTCCCTCACTTATATTTTTTTTTATTTCCTCATAATACACGTTTAGTCTGGGGACCACTATGTAATTAATATATGGTGACATCAGTACTACAATATCCATAAAAAATAAATGCAAATTAATGTCAATAATTATTAAAAATTATTAACAATTTTTTATTTCCGAATTTCGGGATTTCATGAGAACTACCCATTTTATTTGCCTAGCTTAGATTTTAGAATTTTAGTCTTAGAAATCCGCCCCAAGAGGATGTCAACCCAAAACTTTTACAAATTGTTTTAGAAATGATTGAGTTTTAACATAACAGACATTAATAAAATAAAATCCTACAAATTGACCTCCTCCATTTTATTTTAAAGTCTGTTACAAAAAGAATTTTCAAAATACCTACCTAATTCGTTTGCAATCACAATTCTAAGGACTAAGTATAAAATCTCTGGCTCGAACCAATGGTCGCAATAGGTAGGTAATAAGCTATAGCAATCTCAAATTCAATTTGCCAGAAAATAAATTCAAATGTGTCACAAAATATTTTCTTTGCTTATTATAAAAAAAGCTTATTATAAAATTGACGAATTTATAAATGATAATAATGTTTTTGTAGAAAATATCTAACTTAAAATTCATAGCGCTGACAATGTTATCTGATTGAACAGAGATTAAGTGCGTAGCGGTTTCTACGTTGATTGTCGCATGCCTAATCCTTGTTGTTAATTAAATATAAGTAAATCAATATTTATTTAAAAGAGCAACACACAAGTTTTTGCTTATTCTTCTTGTGATGAATCTGCATTC